CGCTGCAAGAGACTCCCCCCCCCCCCCGTGTCTCTTGATGAAAAACAGAAAGCAAAAAGATAAGAGGGAAAAAGAACTCGCGCAGGTTCGAACGAGGTCGAAACAATCGCGAGTTCGCGCCGTTCGCCGATTCTACATCTCCCCTCCCTCTCCTCTGCCGCCTCGTTTCTCTCGCAAATCGCTATACTTCGTGCCGAACATTTTTCCATCACCGTCCTCCGCCACCGCCGGCAAGATATTTGCCTCGTCGTCGCATCCGCTATGTCGTATGTCGCTAACTTCCAGACGTTCTACAAACCGTCGAGTTTCTGTAGCAACCCCCTACCCCGCTACCCAAAACCACCACCGCCACCGCTACTACTATCGCCGCCGTTGCCGCCGCCACCGTCGTCGCCGTGGTGGCGCAACGTTATATAATAATTTTTAATTATTCTCTTCCCTTTTTTTTCGGTATTGCTATGTCGAGCACGATCACACACCGTTGACCCTTTCCGCGTTCTGTGAATGCGGCAGTCATTTAATCGGCTAATTTCGAATTAGGCGAAAGAGTGTTTTAAGAGTGCTTTAAGTAAAAAAAATGTTTTCATCATTTTTCTATGTAATTAATATAATCTCATTGGATACATACATAAATATACAGAATGATGCGATGACGGCGGCGGCAGTGGCGATGGCGGTGGCGATCGCCGCCACCGCCACCCCTTCGCCATTTCGAGCTCTCGCAGGGGATGGTTTGTGGATGTTCCTTGTTAGAGTAGCGGGCTGATTCTGTTGTGTGCGCAGCGGCGCGCCTCGTCCTTTGTGTGAGCTAACCAAACACCCCCTTCTCGTGTCCCGCTGTACCTCATCCTCATCCTCTATTCTCCCCGCCGCCGCCCTCTCTTGCCCTACTCCTCCCTCCCCCTTTATCCTTCTGCTCCTCCATTATCGCGGCTACTTGCGCAAATTGTTTACACGTCGGTCCGCGAGCGTTTCATGAGGCCGTCCGAAAATTGATGATTTGGTGGATGTTTGCTGCACTTTCAGCAGCTGGAGAAGGAGGTGGGGCTGATTTATTAGGGAAAGAGGAGGTAGGGGATAGTTCACGAGCTGAAGACGCTGGATAAGGCTGGTTAAAGAGCAAAGACGGAAGAGGAGGAGGAGGGCGACGTCGACATTTCGGTTCACGAGGTCGGCATTTGTACAGGGTCATTCGTTAATGGTAGCGCCACCGCGCCAGGATTAGGAGAGAGGGGCGACAATGCCACATAGAGAAAAGGAAAGAGAGAGAGAGAGAGAGAGAGAGACAAAAATCGAAAATACGACATGGAATTTTTCTCTGTGCGCGAAATCTCATTTTCTGGGGAACAAATCTGAAAATTGAAGGATCGGCGAGTACCTTTTCTCCGTTTTCAACTCGCGCGACTTCCGACGAACGAATTTTCCCCACAAAGAAATAAGTACAGAGAAATATAAAATATACGATATAATATTCTGAAATAATATCTCAATATTTGGTGTAAAATGAAAAAGAAAAGAGGAACCAGAAGAGAAAGAAAATCACAGGATGATCTCTCTTGATTCATAAGAGAGGACTTTGAGGACTTCCTCGACGATCCGAAGGGCCCTTCCGCAAAAGAGTGAGGAGAACGACACGGTTTTCATTTCACCGTGAAATCTACATATCGTGAATTGGTGAGGGAATGAAAATAGGGGGTGCGCCTCTCTGAACATTTCAGCGGGATGATAGCGGCTCGTTTGGCGAAACGCTCGCGGAAGTTAAGCGCCTTTCTCGAGCGCGGCGCCGGTATAAGGAAGGATAATACTTATCAGGCGTCCCACCGTGACGCCCTGTAGCGGTTCGCCAGGATAATCCTGATTTCCTAATCCTTTCGGCTTAATACCACGATAATTCATACATTATCGCGCTCGCAACATTTTTTATATTTTTATATAACAATTTTTAATTATTCTCTTTCCTTTTTTTTCGGTATTGCTACGTTGAGTACGATCACCGTTAATCCTTTACACGTTCTACGAGTGCGGCAGTCATTTAATCAGCTAATTTCGAATTACGCGAAAGAGAGCACTTTAATTTAAAAAAATTGTTTTACACTTATTATATGCAATTAATATAATCTCATTGGATACATATATAATGAAAATATTTTTTTAACGACTAGATGAAGATGAAAGGTGAACAATTTTTTTTTCTAGATTTATTTTTCTCCTATTCTCATATTTCACAAATATTTAATACAACGTTATCGGGTCGTATGAACGTTAGTAAAATTCTACAGCTATTCAATGAATCGCGATCGGGTAGCACGCGATGAGAGAAATCCAATCGCGCTTTTTAACTCGAGTGCCCGTAGAACGGACTTTCGCATTGCGGAGTCTCGCTGTCTGCTTATAATACAACAAGGGAGTGCGGCGGCCCCTCTCGCTTGTTGCACGGCGAAACATTCGCCGCATTCGTACACGCTGAATAAAGCAATCGCCATATATATATATATATATATATATATATGTACGCGATTGTTTTTCTCGATTTGATTTTCGGCGATCGAGTGAAGCGTGCGCGCGAGCGCGCACGCGACGAAGAGGGATTGATTTATTGGTAATCCACTTTTCCGCGCGACGGAAGGGAAAATCCGCCGCATCAAGGGGTTAAATGCAGC